TGGAACCCCCCTTAAGACCCGCAGGCCAATATAATAGTGTCACCATCTCTCATCCTATTGAGGATGCTAATCTCTATATTTATGTCCATTACTTGGAAGCCCTCTCCTTTGAAGAACAACAATCAATATTCAGATAAATAGCATGAATCCTAAGGATAAGTGACAAAGATGAAAAGGAAGTGAAAGAGTTCTAAGAACTTCATCTGGGAACGAAGAAAGAGGGATTTGGTAGAATTTTTCATTCTCCTTCAATTTTTGAGGATGGTGTCAAGTCTATACTCCTTTGTAACTGCACATGGGGAAGAACCTTGGATATGGCTAAATCTTTAAGTGAGCTTAAAAAACAATTAAGTAGCAAGCCTCAATCAAATGGAAGAAAGCAAAGTATGACCAAAAGAAAATGAGGACATAAAAGGCAATAAGTACAGAAGCTAATGACAAATCATTAAAATTAACTAAATATAAACATCATGGAATAAAAAACTTTCCTAACTCAAAGAAACTTGCTAACTTTGATGAAATTGATCTAAAAAAGGACCGCAATCATGGATTTCAAGCACGTTGCATATTCAATTTGGCTCAAAGGATAGAGAAAATGACACTTGTACTAGAGAAACTTGAAGATGCATGTGACTTGTGCTCATATGAATGTGTTAATAGTAAGTAAACGACCTATATTCTGCTTCATGTATAAATAGGTCCGGTCATAGTTGTGTGTAAAAAAAAAACTTGATGTAAAATATTAAGTAGCGGAAAATTATGATCTTTGTTTCCAATGAAAAGAATGTAATCAATTGACTTGCTTTGGTAAAATGTTAAAGTATTATAATCTAAATTGAAAATGAACTTTTATGGATTTGATGCTATGTTAAATCAGGTGAGGACATAATCTTGTTGTAAGGAAATTGTGTTTTGGAAGCCTTTTATAAGATGACTAGTCAGAATTTTGGTTGAAGTCAACTTCTGCCGCCATTTCTAAAAAAATTATTTCTGGAGTTGTAGAACTCTAAATGGGGCAAATGTATACTTTTTAATATATAAATTTCAAGTCATTTGGCCAATAATTTGATTTAATATGAATTTTTGAGTAACGATAGTTTTTATGAAATTCTAAATGGTCACTTCTGGGAAAATTTTGCAATTTTTTTGGCTGTTAGTGTAAAATTTTGTTTTCATGCTCCAATACGATTAAGCGTACATTCCTAGGACGCATACAATTAGGGATGTTACACAAATGACATCATAGTGTAGCAATATATGGCTCTATCTGTTATGAATATAGTGTTTTCTTCATTTTCTTAATGCATTGGAATGTGATTATATCCAGAGTAAACATCCATAAATGCGAGGACCTGATATCCTGAAGAGATATCTACTAGCTTGTCAATGCTGGGCAATAAATATAGGTGTTTTGAGCATGCTTTGTTCAAATCTATGCAATCCTCTCACATTCTCCACTTCCCACTTTCCTTTTTCACGAGGACCACATTGGATAGCCATGTTAAATAATTGATTTCTCTTATGACTCCTGCTTGCAACAAATTTTTGACTTCATCATCGATAATTTTTTTGTCATTTTGGAGCCACTTTCTTTTTCTCTTAAGCCATTGGTTTGGCTTTGAGATCAATAGATATATGGTGGGAACAAAAGGCGGGATCAATTCCTGGCATGTTCGTAGTTGTCCAAGAAAATAAATTCTTATTTTACTAGAGGATTTTAATCAGTTTTTGTTTCTCATCTGGAGAGAGGTGTCGTCCCACATTTGTGATGTTTTCTTGGTGTTGACCAACTTGTATTTCCTCTAGTTCTCCATTAGGCTGGTGGCGAATGTCGTACATTGAGATCAGTCATGTGCATTGAAGCTTTTCCTTTTGTCACTATTCTTAGAATGATGCATGGTTTTTCTTGGGATGTTTACTTTAAGGCTCACGTTATAACAACTTCGATGCAGTTTTTTATCCCTTCTAATAACAACTATTTTTCTTTGGGGGTCTTTGAATTTTACAAGCAAATAGGGCATGGATATGATTGCCCCTAGATCAACTATTGATGGTCTTCCTATGTTCACATTATATGTTGAAGGACAATCAACAACATAAAAACACACTTTGATAGTTTTTGCCCTGCGGAGGATCCAAAAGTAACTTGCAATTCCACAGTGCCCTTGGCCTGTATGTGTTCACCAAGAATCCTAGCAATCTTGTGTGGCATGGAGTTATTTATTTCTTTGGGATGTTCATGTCTTTGAAAGCTTCCCAAAATATGATGTCGGATAAACTCTCATTATCAATGAATACTCTTTTTACTTGCAGATTTGTCATGAATGCCGCAATTACTAGAGGGATCATCGTGACCTTGGACGATGTCTCAAAAGTCATCTTCATCAAAGTTTAGTGGTAAGGTTTTCCTTTGGCGCGACTTATGATTTTTATAGCCTAACACAGTCATGATGAACTTTAGATGTCTTTTTCTTTGGGGGTAAGATTCTCCTTCTTCAGCCAATCCTCCTGAAATCATTCCCAAAATTCCCGCGACATTGTTAGGAAGTTGTTGTATAGGATTTTTTTTGTTGCACATGTTGTTGCTCTTGTTAACGTATTTTTTTGTTAGGGGAGATCTATTGCGGTGCATATTGTTGTGCAGTATTCAATTGTGTTTCTAAGATCAAAACATTCCTCTATTGTGTGGCCATAGTCTTCATGGAACTCATAATACTTGGATTTATCCAAGTTGTCTCTTTTGTGAATGGGTGTAGGTTTTTCAACGTTTAGGAATCTCGTTTGCAATACATCTTTAAGTATGTGTAATCGAGAAGTGTTTAATGTTGTGAACTCTTCAATCTTTCTTTGTTTTCTGAAATTTCTTCTTAAATCTTTTCTTCGATTAGTCACCTTTTATTTCTGTCTGTGATTCGCATGGGACCGTTAGTAGTCTTCAAGGTTGATATACTTCTCTGATATCGCGTTGAGTTCTTCTACAATTTTTGGTTTTTGTTTATCCAAAGAAGTGGAAAATAGTCCATCCTGAAGAACATCAACGATTAGATTTAGCTAGACTTTTGGGCCCAAGTTTCTAACTAATAGGGTTTCATAAAAAAATTTGTTCGAGTAATCTCGCAAAGCTTCTCAGGACTGTGTTTGACTACTTTCAAGGCATGTGTGGATTTGTATTGCCCCTTGCTAGATAGGAATTGTACTAAGAACTGGTTAAAAAGGTCTTCCTAGTTGTGGATGGAGGTAGAGCCGAGCACCATCTTAAGGCTACTTCCTTCAAGGTGGTAGGAAGCATGCGACAATCGATGGCGTCTGGGATGTCTTGTGTCATCATATTCGTTTGGAATTTTTCCATATGGTCCTGGGAGTCTCCTTTGTCATTATACTTGTCAGTGAAGATTTTGATACCAGGCATGGATAGGCTCATGATTTGTGTGGTAAATTGGTGGGCCACTTTAAAAACAATTTTTGGGTTTGAGAGGGAGTTTTGGTCATGGTTGAAAATTTGGCTATTGTGGGTTTTCATATTGTTTGTGTTATCCAATTCAATAATCATTGAACAGATAAAAAATAAACTAAAATAAAATACTGATACAAGATATGTATTTTGTAAGGGAAAAATGTTTGTTCTTTTAAATGACATAACTTATATCATTTCACTCTTACAAAGAAGTGAGATCCATACATTTTTTTTGTCCACTCTCTCCCCCTTTATCTATCTCTTTCTCTCACTTCAAATGATAAAATTTTACCTCCTTTAAAATGACACACACTTTTTCCGTTTTGTAATTCATGTCTTTGACCATTTATTAATTCTTAGATTTCTAAAAGAAGAAGAGAAAAATTAAAGCAAATTATTAGTGCTCGCTCAAATAGTAACAAATTTTACTACTTTTCTTTATGTAACAAACCTTGCAAGAAGTCGATATATATATATATATATATATATATATATATATATATATATATATATATATATATATATATATATATGAGTTAGTTTTTTTTGCAGTTACTGCAGATAAATCTGCAGTAAGCCTAATACGACGTTGTTTTGGGGCGGAAATCATGATATTTTTATAATTTTAATTTATTTCAAGGTTATAATAGTCTTTACATTTATAATATTTTAATATTTCAATACCAAAACAACGTCGTTTTGGGAATAAATGCAGATAATTTATCTACATTAACTGTAGAAATATTTATATATATATATATATATATATATATATATATATGGATTCGTAACTTATTTACATTGAGCCCAAAACGACGTCGTTTTGAAGCTGAAATCAATGTATTTTTGTAATTATAATTTTTCAGGGTTACAATAGTGTTTTTCATTATAATTTTTTTTTAATCCAAACGACGTCATTTTGGAAGCAAATGTAGATAACTTTCTACATTCACCGTAGAAAATATTAAAGCCTATATATATATTGTTTTTACATTTGATGTATTTTTTTGTTTTAATTTTAGAGTAAATACCTTTTTTGGTCCCTAACAAAAAACACAGTCCCCACTTTAGTCCCTTACAAAAAAAAAATTAGTCAGTTGGCCCCTAACAAATTCAAAGTGGACCCATTTAATTGAAATCGTGGTCTCTCACAATTTAAAAAAAAAATCCATATTAGTCCCTCAAAAGGACTAAATCGTGGTCCCTCACAATTTCAAAAAAAATCCATATTAGTCCCTCAAAAGGACTAAAATGGGTCTACTTTGAATTTGTTAGGGGCCAACTGACTAATTTTTTTGTAAGGGACTAAAGTGGGGACCGTGTTTTTTTTTTAGGAATCAAAAGGGTATTTACTCTTAAAATGGGTCTACTTTGAATTTGTTTGGGGCCAACTGATTAATTTGTTTTTTTGTAAGGGACTAAAATGTGGACAGTGTTTTTTTTAGGAATATTTACTCTTAATTTTAATTTGGTGAATGCAACGACGTCGTTTTGCTATGGCCACAACGTTTTGTTGAGAATTTTCATTTGCTCTCTATTCTCTCAAGAAGTCTCTGCACAGTGAACTCAGCCTCCGCCACCGTCCGCCGTGGAGTTTCCGTTTCCGACCGCCGTTGAAGCCCATTCAAGCCTTTTACATATTTCCTTACAAGATCAGGTAAAAGGGTGATATCAGTTTTGTTTGCATTTGCCTCTTGTAATTAGCTTCAGAGAGAGCGCTTTCGTTTTTAGGTTCAAATATGGTTTATAACTTAACATGGATTGATTAAGGGCTTAAAGTGGATGTAGGGGTCACATAGTTCCTGGGTTTATTCAGGGGAAAATTTTTTTTTTTTTTTTTTTTTTTTGGGCTTAGCGTTAACAAAGTCTAGGCTTTGTGTTTTGATCACCAGCTGTTTGATAAAATGCTTGATTGTTACGTGCAATGGTGTATTGGTTTGGGGGGAAGAAAGATTGTTCCTGTGAGAATTCTGATGTGGTTAGTTTGTTTTTATAATTGATGTGGTTTTGTTAATGGATACAATGTTTGACTATAAACAATGCTTATGAAGTGCTTGGTTTATTGCCTAAGTAAGCTGACCCTTTCCAATCATGCCTTCTGGTTTTTATGATTATTTGGGTTCTCTGGGTTTGTAGCTCATCTTGTATGTTAGGGGTCATTTATTTGATTTTCGATTGTGATTTAAGGTCAAATCCCTGTTTTTGGCATTTGAAATTGGTATGCAGTACACACTTTCATTTGATTGGTATCTTGGATTCTACGTGATTTGGTTTTAATTTGGAATTGTAATGGTTTATTGAGTTTTCTCATAGAGTATGAATTGATTCAGTTTATTTGATTTTGTAGCTGTCTTTTTGGTTCTATTTCGGTTGGCCTAAGGTTTGAAGCTGTTAACATCTGAAATCAGCACATCCTTTTTGTTGTGAAAGATTAGAGTAGAACAAAAATGCTTAGAAGAAGGCTTTCTATTCTCTCAACGTCAATCATCAGAAGTTCAATTCACAGCAAACCCATTCTAAGATACCCATCTATCCAATTTCATCCCTTGCGGCTCCCTCACTCTCCTAGTGCTCATGCAACATTTAATCCCAATGCACTCCCGGATTGTGAAGGCTTTAGAGCTTACAGTCTTCTGAGCTTGAATGATCTGAGAGATAATGTTCCCAGAAAGCAGAAGACAAGGAAGGGCCGTGGGATTGGGTCTGGAAAGGGCAAGACTGCTGGGTATGGTCACAAGGGTCAGAGAGCCAGAAAAGGTTCAAAATTGGGGTTTGAAGGAGGGCAGACCCCACTTCGTCGTAGAGTGCCCAAACGTGGGTTCAAGAATCCATTTAGCCTCACTTTTCAGGTGTATTTTCAAGAACTCATCTTTTTTAATTTCTTTTTCTGTATGTTCTCTTATTTTAAGAAAATGAAATATTAAATAGGAAGCATTCACTCACATCCTTTTCCTGAAGCTAGAGTATACTGCTATGCTTACTGTCGATATTAGGTTTTATTTTACTTTTTATTACTAGGCATAATTTGCATGATACAATTTTTCTTTGTAAGACTCTGAGATCTCCTGTAAACTTATATGGCTGAGTGGCTGACTAAATTTGTTTTAATTGATAAGAACCTCTATTTTCCATATGCCAATTGCCAAGCATGATCTGTACCAAAAAGTATTGTGAACACTTACAGCAAATGTATGTCAAGGTGTATACTTTATTGTATTCAAGGATCTTTTCCTGGTGTATTTTAACTGTTTGTATGTGATTGTTGATATAGTAAGACATATTGCCAACGTTGGAGTTCACTCTGGCTGATAGAGTTGAGCCCCTGGATGTATGGGCATTGAGTAACTTCCAGTGACTTATTTGTTTTGATTCAAGTTTTATATTAATTTCAATTTGTTTGTGCATATTTTTATTCTTTAATATTGTTTAAATTAATGTCTAGATATCTTTATTTGATGGTGAAGCCATGACAATGACTTGAGCTCTTAATATTGGACCCTCTCTGCTTGGTTTCTATCCCTCCCTCTTTTTCCTTAATCTATAAGCCATTTGTATGGCTATTTTCTTAAGTTTCTTTTATATCATTTTTTGCAGCCAATAGGTTTGGGAAAAATTGCTAAGTTTATCAATGGAGGGAAGATAGATTCTTCTGAACTGATTACGATGAAAACACTCAAGGTTTTGTTACTGATACCTCACTGAATTGTTTGCTTTGTGTGCTTCCTCTCATTCTGGTCGTTATTATTACATAGGATGCAGGGGTACTAGGGAAGCAAATGAAAGATGGAGTAAGATTGATGGGGCGTGGTTCTGAGCAGATCAAGTGGCCAATTCATCTAGAGGTAGACTGTAACTTGAAGCCTAAAAGTATTTTGAGGATCACAATCATGTTTTTTAATTCTCAAGTCTTAACTTCTGAATTTTTTATTTATTATTATTATTATTATTATTATTATTTATATTTTTGAAAGTGTATTGTCATAAATTTCATCATTGGTCATAATAATTCGTCATTTTTGCTGTAGTAATAGTATATGGTTACTTAGATGCTGGCTTGAGAGTCTGCTCTCTCCTTTCTTTATTGGCAGCATAAACCATCAAAAGTTTGGAATGGTATACAAAGGATGTAGTATGTCTAAATATTAAGGAACAAATTGTTGGCTTGAGATTGCATCTAACTTTGAATTTGTTATAAAGAAAGTTGGTATTATCCTTATCTTCAAAATTTATATGCTAATTTTCCTTAACCTTGGAAGGAAGGTCATAGGTTCGTCTCATGTAATTAGCCTATTATAGACCCTTCCATTAACCCTGCGCAAAGCGGGAGTTTTATAGCACCATGATGATATTTTTTTACCCGAATAAACAAATAAACCCTCATAGTCTGAGATTATGGTTCCATATTTTGTTCGTCAATAAGAAAAAGAGATGTAAAATTGGTCTTAATGTTTAAGTACTAAAGTATAGGTTATGTTTTATAGTCCTAAACTGTTTAGGCATAAAACAGGAATGTGTTTTCACACAGTAAGTTTCCAGGTATCAAGGGTCACTGTTAGGGCTAAGGAAGCAGTTGAAGCAGCTGGTGGGTCTGTCAGAAGGGTGTATTACAATAAGTTGGGCTTTCGGGCACTGCTGAAGCCCGAATGGTTTGAAAAGAAGGGGAGATTGTTGCCTAAAGCTGCTAGACCTCCTCCAAAGCAAAAGGATAAAGTTGATAGTATTGGTCGGCTGCCTGCACCAACCAAGCCAATTCCATTTTTAGTTGAAGGAAGCGAGGATCTTCCAGTTCATCTTAATTAAATAAATAACATGTTTGGTACCATTTTTTTGGAGTTTGTAATTCTTTATGATGTAAACGGTTTTGACTCACAAGTTTTTTATGCAGTCTCTTCCAATGGAGCAGGTAGTTAATTCAGGATGAGATAAATGGATTTCCTTTGGGACAAATGAAATGGAAAAATCTTGTTTTTTTATATCATTTCTTTTGAGGAAGTGATGTAGGTCACTCGGCTGAACAGAGCCATAATTTCATGTGCAAGGGTAAATTGCTAGAACTCTCTTCAATTCAATAATTCAATTTTCTGGCGGATTTTGTGTAAGATGCTTATGGACGGCACTTGTCAAATGACCTGGTTGAATTTTTAAAAACAGGGTGACTGTTTTAACTTTTAATCCGAATTTGTATTAATATGTATTGTTATTCTCCATTGATCATACGTGCATAATCATCATTCAAGGTGAACTTGGCTCAGTCAAACGGTTAGAATTGGAATGTCATAGTGAGAGGACTATATTCTTTCTCTCGTTAGTTAGGACAAAAAGTGGGTATCCTTAAGTAATATATCTAACTTCAAGAGAGAAAAAAAATAATTTTGAAATTGGAGAGGTGTGTATCCTTGTTCATTGTTTAATATAGGAATGAATTCACAGTTCTTGTGCATAAAATGTTACTTGAAATCCCTTTTTTATGAGTTATCACAATAATTTAGATTGAAATAAACATATAGTTGTGTCTTATAATTGTATACAATTATATCTTTGTTTTAATCTAAATTTTTATGACTTTTTTTTTTTATACATGAAATTTAAAAAGTAAAACAGCAAAATACAAAATAAAGAAAACAAAAACCAACGAAAGCAGAAAAGAAATAAAACCAAAATACAAAAAAAGGAAAGCAAAAACCAACGGAAAGCAGAAAAGAAATAAAACTATCTTGTTTCTTTTCTAGGATGACAAAAGCCATGCCTGAAGCAACAATCTTAACGAAGCAGGAGGAACCACAAAGATAGACTCATCAGACAAAGAAGAATTTAGAATAGGAAGATTAGCTAAACAATCAGAATGTGTAATCAAGACCTGCCAATCACCATCCAAAAGTGTCCGTATACGAGTCATCAAACCTTTCATGGTAATGTAAATATTTCTATTTCAAAAAGAAAATTAAATCAATGGGACTATTTATTTTTAATAATGACCCTTTCATTTTCATTGGCGCTTTTGTCATGATCATATATTATTAGTTTTTTTTTTTTTGGTATGCTATATTATTAACTTTTTATTATGCTTTCAAAGTTTCTCTGAATGTTGTAAAACATTCTAACCAACAACTAGAAGAAATGTAAACTACGTTTATGTTTTTCTTATTGATTCGTAGATGATCCTCACGTTCATCTTAAACAATTTTAAATAAAATCAAAATCATTATGGACATCATGGGTGCAGATAAACCATCAATTTCTGACCTAGTTTAATTTTTACTTAAAACATTTTGGACACTCACCTAGAGTACATAATAAATAAGAACTGGAAAAACAAAAATTTCGTATTGGATGCATCAAATTTCTATCTATCAGAATACAAAAATTGTAAATTCTGAATTTAATATAACATGTGGTTGACTTCAATAATCCTTAACTCAAGCCAGTTGTCACATGAGACCTCAATCTTTGCTTAAATCTTCACCATGTAAAACCCTTTAGAGAAGAGAAATTAGTGATAGCACCAAGAGCCATATATATCTACGCGTTGGCATGTCAACCTTAAAGCCAAGAGAGTGCCTACCACGTTGTATCAATTCATAGTTTAAATACATGCATGACTTACTCATAATGCATCAAACATACAAACACAAACAATATTGCATTTCTAGCTAGCAGCTAAAGAAACATGAAGCTCCACTACTTTTCCTTGTTCATTCTTTTGGTCATCTTGGAGGTGAGAACCATTTATGGTCTCTCTACACAAGAAAATGTGCTAAAGAAATCATTGAAGTCCTTACCCCCTGAAGCCTTGTTGTCCATTAGTTACTATCAGAAAACATGCCCTGATGCTGAAGGCATTATCTCACAAAAGGTTGCTGCTTGGGTTAAGATGGACCCCACCTTGGCCCCTTCCATCATCCGCCTGCATTTTCATGATTGTGCCATTAGAGTAATCCCACAACTCAATCTCTCTTTAAATTTGAAAATGTGTTTTCTATAGTCATTTCTTCATTATCTAAAATAGAGTCCACTTACTAATAATTATTTGTTAAAGTGATAAGGAACTTGTTTTTCTTAAAAAGAATTCAAGTTCTAAGATTGAAGAAAATGGTTTTGAAATAACCGCACCCTATATAAGTCTGACAATGCTCGAATTGAACTAGTTAGATTTCTGATTATCTAGTTGGAAAAAAATAAAAAAAAATAAAAGTAGGGTCCATTTAAATTTTCCAAATGCATCTTGTGCATCACTTTAAATTGATCCGCGCCATATGACACATAATGCACCATTAACTTAGTTAAGTGTTGCCTATAGTTGTCAAACATGGTTAAAATCCAGCATCTAAAATAATTGTTGTAAGGAATTGATGGATTGCAATTTTCCTTTGAATTTGATTTAAAGTATGATGAGTGTGAGTCTTAGAACAGCAGTAAGGTTGCCTTTGTGACCTTTGGTCATGGGTTCAAGCTCATAAAATTGTCTCTTTGCAAAGATGTAAGGATAAAATTATGTATGATCCACCCTACCCTTTTCCTTGCAAGTTGGAGAGCCTTTGTGAATCGGGGTTTGCCTTTTTTATTTATTTAAAGTATGATGGTAATAAGTTTATTAACTTACTTATTATGATGTAATATTTCCATTAGAAGTGTTGACTTGATATGTGGATGTGACATGAATTTTGCTTTGTCTTATGTCATAAAATTGATCAAAATGCAGGGATGTGATGGATCAATTTTGCTTAACCATACAGGGAGTGAAAGGAAAGCTTTTGAGAGCAGAACCCTAAGAGGTTTCCAATTGATTGATGATATAAAAGCTGAGCTAGAGAGGAGATGTCCAAGAACAGTTTCTTGTGCTGACATTCTCACTGCTGCTGCAAGAGATGCAACCATTTTAGCTGGAGGACCCTTTTGGGAAGTCCCATTTGGCAGAAAAGATGGAAAGATTTCCTTAGCCACAGAAGCCATGTTGGTTCCACATGGCCATGAAAACATTACAACTCTTATTGAATTTTTTCAAGAAAGAGGGCTAAACATGCTTGATTTGGTTACTCTCTCAGGTTCACACACAATTGGTAGGAGCACTTGCTATTCTTTTATGGACAGGCTTTACAACTTCAATGGGACTGGAAAACCTGATCCCTCACTCAACATCTTTTACTTGAACTTGTTGAGGAAAAGATGTAAAGGTGTGTTGGATTTGGTGTACCTTGATGTTATAACCCCAAGGACTTTTGACACAACCTATTACACAAACCTTATGAGGAAAGTTGGGTTGCTGTCAACAGATCAATCACTGTTTTCAGATGCAAGGACTTCTCCATTTGTTGAAGCATTTGCAACACAACCTTTCCTTTTTACTAGTCAGTTTGCAGTGTCAATGGTGAACCTTGGGAATGTTCAAGTTCTGACTAGGCCTAATGAAGGTGAAATCAGAGTGAACTGCAATTATGTCAATTCTGTGTAATTGTTGTTCTGCTTAATGTGTGGTTATATATTCATTATTTCAATTTTACATTTGGGATATTAATAATTGTCGTAGTTAGGGCTCGTGTGTCTCTGAGGATCATGTACAAGTGATAATTGTTGGGAGAGTGTCTATGCTGCTGTGTTGCGAGAAATTTTACTTTTCTGATTTTATATATTTGTATTCATAAATTGAATATATATAGTTACAAACTTGTACCGAGTTGTTAGTAAATTTGAACAATATATATTATTTTCAAACACATTATATGAAAGCATATTATTTATCGAAATTAGAGCTTCATTGAAGTCTATGTTCATGAATGAAGGAGAGAGGTATTATATTGAGCAAAGAAAAATAGAATACAGAGAGGGGGAGAAAGCACCCAATGTGGATGGCAAAGAAGAAGTGCTTCTGGAAGATGAAGAGCTTTTCCCGGCTTCCTACAAGGAGAGTATTTTGGTACAAGGAGAGTATTTTGGATCTCAAGCGGAGAATTATAACCATATAAAGACGGATCAATGTTAATAAAGGAATAGAGAGAAAAAATATTAAAATAGGTAGTTACAAAATCATAACCGTTGATTTACCTTTTTATGATTGTGATCTCCCCACATAATCATATCATGTTTTTTTTTTACAAATGAGAAAATCCGAGTATTTTTAGTGCTGAAGTCATACTAAATAATGGGTTCTACTCTCATTTAAAATGGGACACATTTATTATAAATAAATTACAGATTATATATTCTGAAGAATATATAGGCAAAATATTATAGTTATTTTTTTGTTTCTTTCTTCCAAAAATATAAATATATTAGTATAAGTGTTATGTTTTTATTTGGGTGTAGATACGACGAGAACACATTAAATATTTCTCCCTCAAAAGACCTAAAAAATTTATTTAAAAATAAATAAAATATAAATCATCAATTTTATTTAAATTGAGAAAAATTAGAAAATTTTTCTTTATTGTACTGCTTGGTAATATAAAAATTTAGATCAACGTTTGGGAGTTTAGATATGCTAAGACGAGTAGAAACTTAATCTCAATACGCTAATAATGATATATCCATTTGAATTTGGCGACCTTAAATTTGAATTTAACAATAATTTTAAAAATACTGCCTTTATCTTTAGAATAAAATGAAAGCACAATTAAAATGAAATAATGAGCAATTTACAAAGAATAAATTGCAATAATATTTTTAAAATTAAAAATAAAAAAACCCAAAAACAAATTACAATGAAAAATAATTGTAAAATCAAATTTTTATTTTTTTCTCGAAAGAAAATAAAATAAAAAAGAAATGAAATAAAGAACAGTTTACAAAGAATAAATTTAACATTTTTAAATAAAAATAAAAAATCAAATTATTCCAAAAGTACATTACAATGAAATAATAAATGTAAAATTTATATTTATATTTTTTTCTCAAAAAGTAAACTAAAATAAACAATAATATTTTGCAATGAAAAAGAAATCGAGCGAATTAAATTTCAGTTCTTCTTAAAAAAATGAAAAATAAAATATAATCACAAATAATTTTCAATAAAATATTTTTTTAGGTTAGAATAAAAAAATTAAATATAGCAATAATTAATTTACACTAAATTACTAAAAGACAGAATGAGAATAATAAACTTTTAGTTTTTTCTTAAAAAAATCAAAAATTAATTGAAATCACAAATAATTTATGGAAAATTGTATATCTCCTCTAATATGAGATAAAATTATTTGCAACAACACAAAAACAACATACTTTTGGAGTTTAGGAAAAAAATATGTAGGGTATTTTAAAATTTTTATTTCCTCTTATATTAGGAATTTTTTCTAAAATATCATGTATTTTTTTTTCAAATTCTAAAATGACATCGTTTTAGAGTTGAGAAAATAATTTTGTTTCCTATTCAAAAAAAAGAAGTTAATCCCATAATTTATACTGAAAAAATAAGGTTTAATGTTTCTCATGTTATAGGAGATAAAATTATCTGCTACACATATATAAAATTATGTGGAACTCATATTTTCTTTTTCTCTTATTATCTTCAAATGGCCCATATGAACTCCATATACTTTTATATGTTTATAGGAGATGAAATTATCTTCTACAATATAAGAAACATCAAATCCAAAAAAATAAAGGTATTAACATTTTTCCTAGGAGATAAATTATTTTAAACAACTTAAAAATGACGTCATTTTTATAATATAGCGGCTTGATTTTTTTTTTTTGAATATTACAGGAATCGAACTTGTAACCTAATACACACTACACACACCCAATACCACTAGACTAATCCTAGTGGTGCACGGCTTGAAATCGCTTATGTGTAACATATAATTAATTTTACATATCATCACAGGTTTATTATTATTTTTATTTTATTTTTTTTCTTGAGAAAGGTGTGTTGTATGCTGCATTTAGCAGTTTGGTAGATACAACACTGCTGATAGAACGTTGTTAGAAGCTGACCGAACATTAAATCAGAAAGATATTATCAAATTGAATGTAGCCATTACGATACTCAGTGCTGCAAAATGTTCGCTAGTATTGTCTGTCACAACACAACAGTAAGATATTATCATATTGATAAAACCAAGACGTCGCTAATGTTCTTTATAAATTTCTTGGCATAATTTATTTAGTTACAATTTTTGTCCAAAATTCATGATCAACATAAGATTACGATAATAAGGTGAAGACGGTAGCTAATTGATTATCCACACTCTCACTGTAGTTTTGATTACTTTCACAATGTTTTAGATAAAATGCTATTTAATGGTCATCTCAGACAATTTTAATTATTTATTATTAAATTAACGGTTTTTTTTTTGTGTGTGTATATATATATATATAAATATATATATATATATATATATATATATATATATATGTTAAGGAATTCGTGCTTAAAGTTTTCTTTTGGTAACGTGTAAAATTGAAATACAGTCTTAGATTAGTTAGAGATTGTGTATTAAATTTTCGTGAAATATTTTTTTTTTTCTAATACACTGTTCTATGCAACATCCATCCAATTGTCCATGTTATTCTCCACCACTGAAATAGTACATATTAATTAAATATGTATAATTTATGAAACAAATAAGTTTATGTTTTTGCATAAAAGATTTAATATAAATAACATAACTGGTTTTCCGTTCCTGTTCACATGAAATTAAATAGCAATAAATATACTTTCCATTCCCTCTAAATACCCTGCCATTTATGCAATATGAAATCGATCTCCACCGCATAAATAGAATTCATTCAAAAAATTAAATGAAATGAATTTTCTATATACGCCAAACAATATATAATTAATCCAATCATTAAAACACATTACTTTAAATTAATTACAATTCTACCAAAAAAAGAGAGGGAGAATATACAAAAATAAGATACCTCTAATTAATTTCATTTAATTGGTTGATCAAATTGAATAGCATAAATGAACCTACCAATCCATTTCCTCCCTTGTCATAAAAAATCAAAGATAAAAGAAATTGACTATCTTTGAAACCAAAGAGAGAGAGATAGAGATAGAGTACTGGTGGTGAGTGAATGCATGCAATGGCTAATAGTAAGAGGGCAGTGTTGATAGGATGCAACTATGAAGGAACGAAGGCAGAGCTGAAAGGGTGCATCAATGATGTGTGGAGGATGCACAAATGTCTCATTAACAGATATGGTTTCTTAGAGGAAGACATCACTGTCCTCATTGATACTGACCATTCCTACACTCAACCCACTGGCAAGAACATTCGATCCGCCCTGTCTAAGCTGGTCGGCTCCGCCTTGCCCGGCGATGTCCTCTTTGTCCACTACAGCGGCCACGGCACCCGCCTCCCAGCCGAGACGGAGGAGGACGACAACACCGGCTATGATGAGTGCATCGTTCCTTCGGATATGAATCTCATCACAGGTAAGTTAACTCTTAAACGTCCGTTACTTCTTTCTCTTTTCTTTTTATTTTTTTTATTATCTCGATTGATTGATTACTTGATGATTTATTTGAGTCTGGTATATTTTTTTTATGTGAAAAATGTGTATAATTTTAAAGGATATAAAGTTATGTCATTTTAAGTGAGAAAAAGAGATAAATTATGGATAAGAAAATGGGTGAGAAAATTTTTAAAGATGTGAGTTCCACGTCTTTATGAGAGTAAAAGGATATAAAGTGTGTCATCTTTTTTCTTTTTTTATATTATGGATGAGTTCATCACTTACTTGAGTTGGATAAGATCATTTGGGTTCAAAACTCCCCTTATTATTATTATTATTATTATTATTTATTTTTTGGATACAATGCAAATTAAATATATAATCTAATATAAACTATCTAAACCTTTTATTATTAGACTAATTTTAGGCTTAAAAAATTATCTATGCTGGAACTAACTTTTACTAACATCATAAACCTTTCTCTTATTTTTTGTTAAATTATTCTCTCACCTAGTATAAAAAAATAATTTATTTATTAATAATTTGACAAAAATAAAATACATATCATATTAGGAAAAATATGTTTCATTTTTTTTTTTTTTTATAACAATATGTTTCATTTTAAAGGATGTAAAATTGTGTCATTTTAAGTGAGAGAAAAAGATAGACAAAGGGGGAAGAGATGACAAAAAAAATAAAGATGTCGGTCTCACCTCTTTGTAACAGTGAAATGATATAATAAGTTATGCCATTTAAAGTGTTTGAATGACAAACATTTTTCCCATCATATTATAAGTGGAAAATATCATATTATAAGTGAAAGATGCACCAAAAATTCAGTGCATCTAATCCGATGCACCAAAGATTTGTTCCTGATTGAAGTCTTAGGGAGCGTTTGGTTGGAGCTTTCTTAAAATATAGCCAGGCAACTGAAAGTGGGATTGTGTGCTATCCATTAGGGGTGTTCGCGGTCTGGATTGGATCGGTTTTGCAAGCAAAAATCATCCGATCCAATACCTTCGGTTTGATCATATAATCATCCATTCGGTTTTGATTTTTTTCAAATCCGATCCGATCCAATACAATTTTTTCGATTTGGATTGGATTGGATTTCGGTTTTTTGAAAATCCTAAAATTTATTTCATGATTATTGTGCAAATAACATCTTTTGTATATTGGCTTTGTAATTTTATTTTTTGAAATACAAAAGCACTAGTAAACTATAATATAATTTTTTTAATTTTGGCAATGAGATACGAAGCTCTACAAAGATAAAATTTTGTTGATAACATATGACTAGATTTTTTCTTGGGTTTAGTTAATGGGTCTTGGGTTTATAAATTTTTAGGCTATGATTAGGGAAATTACCCAAGTAGGTAGAGGAGAATTAATATATTGGATCAGTTTTCATCAACCCATCCAAAAATCGATCCAATCCAATTAAAATTTGCGGTTTTTAATCGGTTTTCAGTTTTTCGGTTTTCAGTTTATTCGGTTATTGGTTTTTCGGTGCGGTCACCGCGGTTTGAATCGGTTTGGATCGGTTGATAAACACCCATACTATCCATGTTTTTGGTACAAGATATCAAGTTTTTTTCCTAGCAAACCAATTTACCCAGCTATTGATGATTGTTTGCAAAATCAGATGAAATACACTATGCTCAAATCCCACTTCCAATGTGGTATTTGACGTTAGTCAGCTAAATGAAAAAAAGATGATGAAGGAGATGCCAAAATTACCCTCTTCTAACAGTATTTTCTTGCTCCAGCTTTAATGGCGAGTGCTGAGTGTTCTCAAAACAGCATTTGAATCTTCAATATTTGCATGTTTCACCAACTCCTCACAAACAATACCCATAACCCAAATATGATTTTCTGAAAATGCAATTGGAATTCTCATTACAAAGGAATCAACTTTTTGAGTTTTTGCAACCTCTGAACCTAACCAGATGGCTAAAGAGTTGTAATCTGTCATGGGGTTCTGTTTTTCAGTCTCATTGAATCAATATCTCAAATGGGTTTTCTGATTCTTGGACTACTGTGAATTTTCTTTTGTTATTTTTCTTCATCTTTTTTTGTTGTTGTTCTTTCACTTCTTTGTTGGTTTCTTGGTGTGTGAAAGTGTTAAGATGGGGAAAGAGATGATAGAAAACGTGAACGATGATGGAGAGCTTGATGAGCTTGAGATGTTGCTGAATGAGATCCCTTAGATGACCCATTAACCACCGACAACATATATGGGTTTGTACTGAAAAAAGTGAGAGTAAAGGGTAGGTGATTAAAAAAAATTTAAAAACAGGGATATTTTCGTAATTGTAACTTATTTCTCCATCTATATTTTACCTCAAGACAAACATAGACTTTATAAATCTTACCTAATTTGCCCGATAAATTTTTTTTTAACCAAACAACTTTTTTTACATTTTCCTACCAAACTCACTTCCTAACCATCTCCCTATCAATTACATTTCCCTAGTATTCAAAATATTTCTCCTCAACCAAACGCCCCTTATAGTATCAGCCTTTCGTATTTAGAGAAAAAACCCTTGCAAAAAAAAAAAATTAATCGTCTAGTCTTTAGAAAATTCAAGATGGACTCATTTTAATCTAAAGATTAATACGAGTCTTTTTTGAATTTGTGAGCGACCACGATTTCAACTAAATGAATCCACATTGAATTTCTTAAGAACCTCGAAACTAATATTCTTTTGCAAGGAACTAAAATGGGGATTATGTTTTTTGGTTAGAGATCAAAAAAAATTTACTCTTATATTTATTATTTATATTTGGGTTGGCGCAGTTAAAAGGGGTCGGCACACCAGGTTCGGTCGTCTACGTTAGCATTGACCTAAATTTGATTCTCTATGTAATCTCATGGTAAATCATAATTGAGCTTGGTGAACTTTCCAAAATCTTGAAGAGTGTCTCGTTCCTTAATTAAAATTTTTATTTATATAAAAAAAATGAAATGATCTCAAAACACGGAAACGTCAAATTATGTCGTATATTAGTTGGCTTATACATTTTCAAAATTCTATGCGTACTGTTTTACACTTAATTATACTACTCGCACGAGCTTATTTTCTGTGCTTTACCAAAAATTAAAAAATATGAAATATGGGTGGAAATAAATATAAAGGCAAGAATAATATAAAAGTGATACTTTTTATTATATTTAGTAAAAAGAGTACCGAATAATTCCGATCGGATATTTTAAAGGGCTTACAAACGTATATTTTAAACATTTTTCAATACTTGGGGACTTAAATCACAAGTGGCTATATATAACTATATAAGGAAAATATTTTTCGTTTTACCCTGACTGAAGTTTTTTTTTTTTTTTTTTTTAACATTTTTAAATCTCGAGATAAATAGTATTTTACTTAGGCTATATATTTGTTTTTATTGTAAAAAAATTTTGTGAGTCACACTTACTTAAAAGCAAGGGATACCATCAACTTCTTCTTTATCTTCTTTTTATGATGCGACTCATTTATCTGAGTATGGCAAAAAAAAAAAAAAAAAAAATCTGTGGCAAAAATAGAAATATTTTTCACTTTTACTGATTCAACTTTTTAGTCAGGTTTTGCGTTTTAACTTTTTATTTTATGGTCTGGATGTATTCATTTATTTGAAGTTAAATATTTGTTCTCTATTTTTGTCTTTGTTTGAAAAAATTCTTTTTAATAATTTTTCATGAAATCATTCTTTTATTTGATTTTTCCTAGTTTTTTCCCCCATTTATCTTTCTCTTTTGGAGATAACGACTACTCAGAATTTGATCTGGAAGCTATGCAGTAGAGAAAAAATCGATATATATTTGATATGCAAGCAAAAGATATTGAATCCCATGTATAAGGATTCTGTTGATTTTTTATTTAATGGTTACATAATCTGAAGATATAGTTTGTTATAAACTGAGTTCAAATTTTTTTTTTGGTGTCATTCTGCATTTTTTTAATCTTATAATAAGATTAAAAAAAAAAAGTGAGTTGAAAATCATCATGCCTTATGTTATATATCTATCAAAAATTAAAATATTTATACATTTTGTGATCTTATCTTATGACTGGGTATATTCCAAATTAGTAATATTTTTCTGCAATTGGCATGATTCTTTGGGAAGCAATGGTAACTGTTACTTTGTGTGTGTGTGTGTGAAAACAGATGATGACTTCAGGGAACTTGTAAGCAAGGTCCCTAAAGGTTGTAGGATCACAATTGTGTCAGATTCTTGCCACAGTGGTGGCTTGATTGAAGAAGCTAAGGAGCAAATAGGAGATAGCACAAAGGAAGAAGGCCAGAATTCAGGCTCTGGCTTTGGATTCAAAAACTTTCTCCATAGAACTGTTGAAGATGCCATTGAATCTTATGGTATCGATATTCCATCAGAATTGCACCACCATAGATACAAGAATGTTGTTGAAGAAAGACATGTTGAACTTCCTCATGGGGATTATGGCTACTTGAAGAATAGGTCATTGCCTCTTTCAACTCTTATTGATATACTAAAGCAGAAAACAGGGAAAGATGATATAGATGTTGGGAAAATAAGACCTTCACTTTATTATATCTTTGGGGAAGATGCTAGTCCTAAAGTGAAGAAGTTCATGAAGTTTATCTTGAACAAACTAGAACAACATGGAGGTGGAGAAAGTGGAGGACATGGTGGAATTTTGGGGCTGGTGGGTAACCTTGCCCAAGAGTTTCTCAAACAAAAGCTGAATGAGAGTGATGATGAGGGATACAAAAAACATGGCGTGGTGACACATGTGGGAAGTAAGCAAGAGGCATATGCTACATCAACTAAGCACAACCTTGTAGATTGTGGAATCTTGTTGAGTGGTTGCCAAACTGATCAAACTTCTGCTGATGCAAGTCCTTATGGAGATTCTGGGAATGCTTATGGGGCTTTTAGCAATGCCATTCAGGCTATAATTCAGGAGACTGATGGTTCAGTTACAAATAGGGAGCTTGTTCTGAAGGCTAGGAAGAAGCTTAAGAGACAGGGTTTTACTCAGAAACCAGGACTCTATTGCAGTGACCAAAATGTTGATGCTCCTTTTGTGTGTTGATTTGATAGTGGCAAAATGAAAATTATGTTGGTTTTGCAAGTGTTTTTTTCTGAGTTTGGGGAAATTAATATTGCAGAAATAAATATATACTTTGTTTATGATTTTAATAATGATGTGTGGCATTTAATACAAAAGTGTGTGGGCTAGATAGTTATAATGATTTCACAAAGCACGCACTCTAAAATATAGGAGTGATCTCTTTAATAGAAAAATTAAGGGTTTTATTTCTCATGTCACATAAGAGAGATTTTATCTCATACTCTCACTTCGATTTCTGTGTTCTATTTTTTTCTCTCTTTTTTTAAAACATAAAGTGAGTCCCACTATTTATTGTGAGAGTAAGAAAGAAGATTTATCTTATGTGACATAAGAAAAATAAAACCCAAAAACTAATTTAAGAAAAAAGAATGTGAAGTTTCTAATGTTGAAGTCTTCCACGGAACATAAGTCAACACATTTTTATTTGATGTTGTTATGTACCGACAGAATAGAGGTATCAATATGGATTGAACCTGATGGGTCAACCTGCCAACCTATCAAAATGGGGCTGGTTGAATTATATTTTTTAACCCACCAACTCACTTCAACCCGCCCCGATTAGTTGTGGGTCGAAATGGAGTGGTGGCGGGTCAGAGCGGGTTGGCCTGCGGGTCAACTTTTATTATTATTAGGTAGTATTTTATTTGTTACTAAATTTTTGTGATATAATTTATTTTTATTTTAGTACTCCCTTAGAAAAATAAAGAAGAAAAACTTTATTTATGACAAAGATTATCCATATATAGAGACAAAAATAAATTTCTAAAAAATATCTAACTGAATATTAGCTTATATTTAAGCTTAAGATTGAAAAAAAATTAAGGGGAGTGGGAAATAAAAATAAGAAATATTATAAAATTAATAAAATATAAGTTATTATTATTTTTTAATTATTTTTTGTTTTTAGACGAGTTGATCCGCCAACCCGCCTCAAAACGGGGTGGGTTGATATTTTCAACCCACTATCAAACGGCGGGTCAACCCGCCCCGCCCCGTTTTTGGCAGGTTGAAAGTGAGTCAGGGCGGGTCATCTCGTTTTGTCACCTCTAGGCAGAATGAGCTTCAAGATTGGACTCGCAATTCACTCCAAACTCACTCCTAAGTATAAAATTCGGGACATTGACCGTACTGCTCCCTTTTTTAATATAATATACCTGAATGTCACGGAGTCAATTTTTTTTTTTCAAACTGCCACGGCACCATAGTTGCTGGAGTAGTCAGCTACTATGGACGGGACACGTGTCACTTTCCCAACGGCTGGAAGGCCTGGTTGCACCAAAGTAACTGATTACCTCAGCGACTTTGAGTTGAATGAGTTGCGTGTCCAGCCACTGGGGATATGGCACGTGTCCAGTCCATAGTAGCTGACTACCTCAACGACTATGGTGCTGTGGCAGTCTGAAATTTTTTTTACTCTGTGACATTCAGGTATATTATATTAAAAAAGGAGACAGTATGATCAATGTCCCATGAAATTCTTTATAGAAGGGATAGGTTTCACCCGGCAGCTGAAACCATTTTATTGTGGTTATGCACACACGAGAGCATTTTTGATACACCCATGTAGCTATAACTTTCATTCAAAAATTGACACTTGGATTATAATTTCTTATTTTGATTGGCCCGTCGCATAGAATCAACGGTACCGCGGGGTAAATAAAATATTTCGGTGCACACACACCACCCTTAAACTATCTGTCTTCCCATTGTGCACAGTAATCTACGACGTAACTAGTTACTGTCTCCTCCATATACCGTCAATCCACATATCCAACCCTTGTCCTCAAGGACCAAATTGGTGTTAAAGTTTTATTGTAGAAAAAGAAGAAGAAGCAATATTCCCGTGCTTTGTGGACTGTTATGTCAAAATGCTACATGATTCCAGAATCAACTACACATTTCCCATAATTATCTCTTAATATTTCTTATTACAAAACTGAAACAACTTGTCATCTATAACGTCTGGCATGGGCCTAGGCCCACTCAACCAACACTACCAAATGGGCTTCAAGAAAGGAGAGTAACCAGACAACCCCAAGACACCAACTTTAGTTGGGCTATCTGATGAGGACTCATTGTCTTGTCTACAATTTTGTTCTCTTGTCAATCGTTTTCTATTAGGTTTACCGATGAGGCTCGAGAGGTAGGTTTTTGTCCTGAACTTCCAACTTCGTCTTCCTTGAGAAGTTTCAGAATGTTCTGCAATTTTTTTGCAAATCTTTATTTGGTGGTTGAAGCTCACATTGCGTCTACAATCAAGACGATAGGGAAAAAAATAATAATAATAAAGGTGGAAAATGGCTATGTGTGAACTAACTAAATTCAGGTTAATGCTTATTTATATTTTTGCATCCTATTATTTTCTTTCGTTTTACTTTATAATTTTCCATTGATAAATTTTATTTTTAATATCTTGCATAATCATCCTAATTCAAAAGATTATATGAATACATCAAATCAATTCCCACTTCTTGACAAGCTTGCTCTCGTTTTTTGAAAAGGACCATGCCAATGGGAATTGAGTTATTTAACTCAATCAACCTCTGACAATAAAACACAATCTAAGAGAAAACATGATCAAGTTAAAACTCATGCAAGTAAGAGAATCAAGGAGTACATGTCATTACTAATAGCATATCTAAATTGGGAAAGAGTATAAGGTAATGGAAACTAAGAACCATTGAAAAGAGTTGCAAATCGTCTTGGAATTAGCAAAGATATATTTGATGATTCCAGGAGTCTTATGAACGAATTGCTAAAATTGATTTAACCAAAGAAGAATGCGATTGTAGCAGATAAGATATTACTTGTACGACTATATATATTTATGGGATCTGATATAGCAATTTCTATGGATATTATCTAATTTAGTTTACTTCGTTTCTTTAATTTTTGATTTGATGCAATTTATTTATGACAATGAAGTGAGAACCTGAGAACTTTAATATTTAGCGACTTTATTACTTAGAGTAAATATTATTTTTGGTCCATAACAAAAAATACGGTCCTCACTTTAGTCTCTTACACAAATAAATTAGTCAGTTAGTCCCTAACAAATTCAAAGTGGACCTATTTAGTTGAAATCGTGGTCGCTCACAAATTCAAAAAAGACCCATATTAGTCCCTCAAAAGGACTAAAATGGGTCCACTTTGAATTTGTTAGGGACTAACAGACTAATTTGTTTTTGTAAGGGACTAAAATGGGGACCGTGTTTTTTGTTAGGGACCCAAAGGGTATTTACTCTTATTACTTTAGATATTTGTTTATAGCAATGAGTCAATGACATGTTATTCACAATTATTCCTTCCATTTTTTTGTAGTTTTATTCCTTCAATTTTATTTTGTTAGATTTAGATGTTAATTAATGTTCTGTCCAGAGGACAAAGATGTCTATCCCAATGGACTAATATATTTATGTTGGATCTAGGTGCTCCCTCTAAGGTATTTATGAGTTAGATACCCTTGAATTTAGCAAATCACTGTGCACAGAAGAATAACAAACAACTTTCGCCAAATGGGTGGTGTGTGTGCATACTAATAGCATAACAGTAAGAGAGAGAATAATCATACTTATAGATTTTACCTCCTATTTATAGAGTTTGCATGTGGGTATTGGATTATGAACCTTTTGTGCTTCTATCAGCAGCCCAAGCCTATGCTTAATGCTGTCGTATTAGGATTGATATCCTTGATGGATATCGTCCCTTAATTATATCAGATTTATATTTAGATTGCCCCTTGTTGGGTTTAGCAATAAATGAGCCTCATATATAAGTCCATAACAGTTGCCCCTCTGCCAGAGAGTCTGGGTGTCCAGGCTGCTGGGTGCATATAGCTTTAAGAATATTTTGAATTTCTACAAGTTTTATACCTGTCCAGGTTTCTTGAACATTATCCCAGTTATTGTAGTCTTTGTATATACCAGGGTAAAATACCAAATTCTCCAAACTTCCCTTTAAGAAGCATATGGGAATTTGAATTTACAAAAATCTAGGATTTTTATATTAGTTCCAAGGGTCCCATGGGGTAATATATCTGCCCCCTATCTCGGTAAATTGAACCTTCAACTCGCCAAGATATTATTCATGTTGTTCTAACCCAAGTTATAATTGAACTTGGATTGCTTTTATTTCCTGATGACGAGTTTCCCTCAAGTCCATTTTCTATCAACCCAGTTTAACTGCTCACTGCAAAGCTTACCGTTATTACGTGAGCAAATATTTCGCTTAGAACCCGGCTCTTTGCCTCTGTATAATTCCTTATATCACAATTATATATGAACCAGGATTATCTCTATTTGCCTGCAAAAATTATGCATCAAGGATAAGGGTATCATACTGTGAAAACAATAATGAAACCCTTACACGTGGTAAATATTAATATTAATAGCGTGTTGTAAGCAGCATACACCGTCTTCATATTTCGTGCATATGAAATGCACAAATCATTTCATCTGTTTAATCATTGCTTTTTGGGTTGAATTGACAATTATACCCTTGACCTTGGCCATTCGAAGTGCCAGCTGTTACTCTTACTATTCATATTTCCCCCTTTCTTTCCTTCACTTCATATTCATAATCGCAATTTTCTGAGAAGTTTCCTCTGTGCCCTTCCTTTCTGTTATTCTTCCGTAAGATAATTTCTCTCAAAGCACACTCCAAAACTCTTTTCATTTCAAGTCAGGTACTTCCATTCTCGCTGTGGATTCCTCTATTTCTTTTGGTCAGTTTGAATATCTGAATCTGTTTATGTTTTTTGAATCTCCATTTCTCTGGCTTTTTGAGTTTCTGAATGTTCTTGGATCTTCGAATCTTGTTGTTTTTCCCTCATATGATATTGTGTCTTATGAAGTTGTTGGTTTGCATTATCCTTGTATAATTTTTCTGGCATTTTTGAGTAACTATACATCACTTGTTTGAAGATTTTAAGCAAACTGCCCATATTTCTTTCATCTCCTTTA